GCGGGCCACACAGGTGCTCGGGCACCGCATGTGCCCGGCCACGTGGGCACAAACAGCACATGGGCTCGGGCAGCATCTGCGTGTGCTTCCTTTGCTCAAGGCAGCCTTTAGAGGGTTTCTCCAACCTGCCCCCACATGGGTTTCTTCCTGGGTCAGAGCCATTGCTAAGGAGTTTGCCAGCGGGGTTGGGAGTGGGGATGGTCTTCTTTGAGATTCCTTTCCTGACTTTTGTTCCTGCAGGAGCTTCTGTGGGAGGGGCTTGGTCCGGCGTCCTCAGGGTCTGTTGGGGACAGGCACCGTTCCCCATGAGGTCAGGGCTGTGACTGCCCAGGACATTTACTGCCGTTGTCTTGGGGAGGGGCCTTCCCTATCTGCCTGCCTGCCTGGCTGCATCAAGAGGACCCCGTGTGGAGAGACCCAGTCACCCCACAGCCCGGAGTCCTGGGCTCCCACCCCCATAGCTGCTGGACAAGTGTCACCTCTACAGGGGTGACCCCAGGCAGACACGGGCGACATCACAGCCTCACCGAGCACAGTGCTGTCTTCACTGTCCCCGCGGCGTCCTGACAGCCGGGCAGCTGCAAACCAGCCTCCGGGAGCACTCAGGGGAGAGTCAGGCAGGGATGAAGAGGGAGAGGGGCTCCCGAGGGCTTGGATCGGTCATGCCAGTGGCATAGACTTCTCTGCCCCGAGAGTCCACTCCTGAAAGGGCAGCAGCTGAGGGCGGCCACTGTCCTGCCCACCGCCTGAGCCCAGACCCTGCCAGCCACTACCCCACGGCCTTCTCCCTGACCGCCAACACCACCGGGAGGGCAGATTTGGGGTGCAGGTGGCCTGGAGAAGCTTGTAAAGATGGGGCCCCAAGGGCCTGGAGCATTAGCACAGTGGGGAGAGCGTTTGTCTTGCAGACGGCCGACCCAGGTTCGATTCCCAGCATCCCATAGGGTCCCCTGAGCACCGCCAGGAGAAGTTCCTGAGTGCAGAGTCAGGAGGAACCCCTGAGCATCGCCGGGTGTGACCCAAAAAGAAAAAATAAATAATGAATAAAATAAAGGTGGGGCCGGAGGAATAGCCCGGCGGTAGGGGCTCATCTTGCCTTCAGCCCACCCGAAGTCACTCTCCAGCACCACAGATGTCCTCCCAGCCCTACAAAAGTGGTCCCTGAGTGCAGAGCCAGGAGTGAGCCCTGAACACTGCTGGGCTGGCCCCAGATGGAGAGAATCTGAGTAGGACTGGGAGGGTTTTCTTGTTGTTGTTTTAAGGACCGTGTATATTTTCTAAGAAGAAAAATATGCACACTGCTACTCAAATATAAATGAACAGAGAAATAAATGAGGGTACTGTGGGATTGATTTGGGGGTGGGGCAGTGCTGGGCCACCCCCGTGGTACCCAGGGCTTCCTCCTTAATGGATGCATTTTTTTTAAGTTGCAGACTTGCATTTCTGCTAAAAGTACTGGTGCATGAGGTGAAATCCAGAAGCTATCAAAAAGGGTGAAATGCTACGGGCCAGAGAGATCGCACAGGGCTTAAGGCCCAAGACTGACCCCACCCGGAGATTCCTCTGAGCACTGCCAAGAGGACCCCCAAGCACAGAGCCAGGGTAAGCCCTGAGCACTGCCAGTTTTGGCCCAAGGAACCAAAAACAAATAAATGCAAAGTTCTAATGTGTGCTCCACTTGGGGGTGGGGGGTGGGCTGGGTCTGTCCCAGGTGCCCTGCCAAGTGCTCCTGAGTCTAGACCAGGAGTCACCCCCGAGCACCTTCAGGGGGCCCCAGGTGCAGCCCCAGACACTCAGATGGGCCAGGTGGGCGGCCCACACCCACGGGAGGGGTCAGCTCTATGGGGCGCCTGCTATCCCGCCCTGTGCACCCGCCACTCCGCCGGGCTGGAGGGGGTCCCGGACATGCGCTGCCCGGTATAGGGGGGAGTGAAGGAGAGACTGTCCATCCGCAGCCCGGATGGCCAAACGCCCGCTTCAGAAGTCCAAGTTCAAACTCCACAGCCCGACTGAAGCCCAGGCCATCCCTTTGAAACAAAAAACAAAGTGACAGCAATAAAAATTAAAATTTGTGCATTAAAAAAAAAAAAACACTTGGTCCCTTGCACTCATGTTTATGCATGAACCAACCGGTGTGGGCTGGTTCCACCTCCAAGCCCAAGGGGCCACAGACGCCACTTGTTTCTGAGGCGCTGGACGGGGGGCAGGTGGGGCCAGGGTTCTGCCGCCACTCACTGCTTCCTGCTGAAGACCGCCCTCACGAAGCTCACGTGGTCTAGAACCTTCCAGAGGAGAACGTCCCTCTAAGCTCGGATGCCAGGCTGGGGGCCAGAGAATGACCGGCTGGGGGCTGGCCCTCAGGCTGAGCAGGAAACAGGCCTCCCACCCGGCTGCTCACGGGGACACTCCAGGGCCAAGGCCCCCGGATGGGGGGTTCCCTGGGGAAGCGCAGCCCCCACCAGTGATGACGGGCCAGAGCGCGCGAGTCCCCACAGCAGGCCAGCTGGAGGGGGCCGGGAGGGCACAGGTGCCCAGCCCCAAGCAGAGCATGGGGCGCTGTGGCTCGGATGGCTTCTGGTTCCGCTCCTTCGGGCTGAGAAACCCTCAGAGACCAACCCTGCTCGCTCCTCTCGCTTTGATTCTGCTAACTCCGCTTCCGGAAGACTCAACATCTGGACGTCTGGGTGGAAAGAGTTGTTCTGGTCACCAAAAGAACAATGGCACGGCTTCCGTTTCCCCCCAGGGAGTCTGAATCCACTTGGCAACACACACACTCACACAGCACACCCACATACTCACACGCACTCATACACATATTCATACACTCATACACACTCCACACATGCATGCACACACACTCACATGCACACACACTCACATACACACTCATACACATACTCACACACTCACATACACACATGCTCACACGCGCACGCGCACACACTCACATGCACTCACACATGCACGCACACACTCACACGCTCACACACTCACATACACAATCACATACTCACACACACGCACTCACACTCACACACACGTTCACACACACACACTCACACACACACACACACACACACACACTCGCATCTCCTGGCAGGCAGCAGAGCCTGGGCCTCCCTCTGGCCCGGCCCAGCCGCCCCCGACAGGAGCGCTCCCCCACCCCCGGGCGGGAACCCCACTGGGGTCTGGAGGGGCCGTGGGGGCTGCTTGCTGCTGGCACCATTTTCTGCTTTCCCTGAAGCAGGCAGTTCTGCTTGGAGCGAGGCGGGGGCGGCCCTGCACCCCCCGGCTTTGCATCAGTGGGTCGGGGAGGACGTTCTCCACAGGGAGGGCTGAGGGCCAGTGTGCCCAGCCGGTGCCAGTTCCATGGCCCCCACTCTGCCGGAAGCCCCGAGCCCAGAGAATCGGGCCCCCTCCCCAGAACTTGCCGAACAGCAGATGGAGGACGAGAGTGTGGATGGCGCAGGCACGGGGTGGGACCTTCTTGGGGACAGCACAGAGGGGAAGGGGGTGCCCTGGACGTACCCACCCCCAGGCCCCATCACAACCCGGTCCCCTGCCGTTGGCGGCCTGTCCATCTCTGCAGCCACGAGGGGCCCCTTATCCTGCGTCCAGGGGCCCCACCCCGTGCCCCCGGGGGTGCCCAGCTCCCCTGCCCCCTTCCCCAGAGCATCTGCTGAGCTCTGAGTGTCCGCCCAAGTGGAGTCAGTGCAGCCAACTCAGCCCCGCGGGAACCGGGTTCCCCAGGGGGCTCTGCAGGGGTCCCTGCCTTGCAGAGGGCCTGGAGGGCAGGGCAGGGGGGCTGCTGGACATCGACCTCCCCCGACCCCCAGGGCTGCTGAGGGCTCCGCCCATTGGGCTCACAGAGCCGCAGAGTGGCCCCTCCGCCTCCGGTCCCTTCCCAGAGCAGCCCCTGCCCCACAGTGCCTCTCCCCGAACTCAGTGCACCTGGCGCTTCCTGCCTGTTGTGTGTGTTATTTCAGCGTCCCCTGCTGGAAGCAGCAGCTCCCTCCCACCCGGGCAGTCCCTGGCCCGGCCTGCTGACGAGGGTCCCCACAGCCCTGCCACCAGTCTGGCAGGGTGAGCATCAGGACCACTGCGGGGGCCAGTTCTGGGTGCTGGGAGGCAGCTGCCCCCGGCAGACACACCATGCAGCCTCTGAGGGCGCTGAAGAGGCAGGGCCGGGATGGACCCCCCACACTCCAGGCCCCGAGGGATTGTCCCCGAAGGCTTTGGAACGCTCTCTCCCAGGGGACTGGGTGACCCTGACTCCAGGGTGAGACACCCACAGGGGGCTGTGCTGTGGCACTGGGCAGAATCCATGTTCTTCCTGTGCACAGAGGAGGGCTGTCCGGCTCGGGGTCGGCCACGGATGGAGAGACCCCGGCGCAGCCCAGCAGCGGGCAGGGTGCAGGCAGCAGGGCTGGGAGACCGGCCCCACGGAGGGGCGCCTGCGGCCTGTCAGACGCCCGATCACCGAGGCACGCCCACAAGACTCTCACGGGGCTAAACAGGGGCACAGGGCCACCAGAGTTGGGCACAGAAGCAGAGTGTCCGTCTCGCAGGGCCGGCCCAGCCTCTCTGTCCTAGGGGCATCGCGTCCACCCAGAACCGCACCAGCCTCTGCGCTCCAGGCCTTCCCAGGCTCCAAGGCGAGGCCCTCGTCCCGAGCGGCTGGTCGCCCTGTCCTGAGGACCCGCAAAAGCTCTGGGGGAAGAGCGCAGGCCCTGCTCCTTGTCTGACCCCAGCTCGGGCTGCACGCCCCTTCCTGCCCCCAGCAGCCCTCCCGTCCCCTGAAGCTGCTTTTGGGAAACGCGACTGGTCCTCCCCAGGGGTGAGCCCGGCCCTGGAACTGGGGGTCCTGTTGGCGCGATTTCCTGACAGCCCAGCACGCCTAATGGTCACCTCCTCAGGCCCTGGCGCCGACTCTTAGCCGGTCAGAGCAGAGACGAGAGACCGGGTCCCCCGACACTCCTTGTGGGGCCCCTTCCCTGCAGGAAAGAGATTCTCCAGGGCGTCCAGGAGAGGGCGCTGCTCCCGCAGGCGCGGCCGTCACCCCGCAAGCAGTAGCCGGGCTGCTGGTCCCAGACTGTCTACTCGGAGGGGCTCTGGGCACGGGCGGGGAGCAGACGGTCTGCCCAGACCCCCCTGCAGAAGGACTGTAATTTCCCCCCCTCTCTCCAGAAACCTGAACCTCGGGGCTCTGGTTGTCAGGACGCTTCTGGGGGCCCCGGGGGTTCTGGGAAGCGTCTCCGGGCCACGCCAGAGCCGGGGTTTCAGTTTGCTGGCAATTCCCGGGCGGGCGAGGGGGCTCGGTGCCCGGGGCGCCTGCACCCGGCTGTTATTTCAGGGCCGCCCTGTGATCCGCAGAGGGGCCTGGGGGAGGCTGTTGCTGGCGCTCCCTGCCCCAGACGCGCCGGCAGAGACAGGAGCTCGCGCCCTCCCTCGGAAACCGCAGCCGCGGCCAGACTCATCCCAGGCGGCACAGTTCACCTCCCGTCGCCCCGGGCAGGCGGCCGGCGTCTGCGTGGACACAAGGGGACCATGGCAGAGGGTGACCCCGCGGGCCCCTGGGTTCGACCCACGCCCGCGCCACCGCCACCCCTGTCCAGCCCCGAGACCTCTGGCCCGCTGGACATCTGCCGACACGCTCGTTTCACTCCCCCCTGCCAGCCTCCCTCCTCTCCCCTTTCTTCCAGCTGAGACTCTTCCACGAGTGGGCACGGCCCGAGTTGGCACAATCAGATTTTCCCTCCTGGGAATTTGACCTTTTTTTTTTCCAGGATTTTGGACCACACCTGACAGTGCTCAGAGCTCGCTCGCGGCTCTGTGCTCAGGGGTCACCCCTGGCCAGGAGGACCCTCGTGGTGCGAGTGATCAGACCAGGTCAGCCGTGTGCCAGGCGGCCCCTCCGTCTGCGTCCAGCCCAAACCGGAACCGGCAGGTCCAGGCGCTGCCCAGTGAGGAGGGCCCCGCGGCAGCTCCGTGCCCGGCTCTGACCGCGGGCCTGGCCCTGACTTCCGGCTCCGGCGAGCTGGACCTGGTCTCTGCCTCCCTCCCCAGGAGCCCCAGGGCGACGTCTCCAAAGGGGGGACCCCGGGTCTCCGGGCTGCGGGTCCTACAGGTCTGTCTGACGCGCAAACAAACACGCAGAGGGCACTGCCCTGCTCGAGACACCTTCGGGGGAGGGTGTGTGTGTGTGATGTGTGTGGTGTGTGTGTGTTATGTGTGGTGTTTGTACGCTGTGTGTGTTTTGTGTGTGATGTGTGTTGTGTGTGAGGTGTGCGTGTTGTGTATGTGGTGTGTGTGGTGCATGTTGTGTGGGGGTGTGTGTGAGGTGTGTGTAGTGTGTGTGTTATGTGTGTGGTGTTTGTATGTTGTGTGTGTGATGTTTGCTGTGTGTGAGGTGTGTGTTGTGTTGTGGTGTGTGTTATGTGGGTCGTGTTTGTACGCTGTGTGTATTTTGTGTGTGATGTGTGTTGTGTGTGAGGTGTGCGTGTTGTGTATGTGGTGTGTGTGATGCGTGTTGTGTGGGGGTGTGTGTGAGGTGTGTGTAGTGTGTGTGTTATGTGTGTGGTGTTTGTATGTTGTGTGTGTGATGTTTGCTGTGTGTGAGGTGTGTGTTGTGTTGTGGTGTGTGTTATGTGGGTGGTGTTTGTACGTTGTGTGTATTTTGTGTGTGATGTGTGCTGTGTGTGAGGTGTGCGTGTTGTGTATGTGGTGTGTGTGGTGCATGTTATGTGTGTGAGGTGTGGGAGGTGTGTGTGTGTATTGTGTGGGAGGTGTGTATGTGGTGTGTGTGTTGTGCATGTTATGTGGTGGGGTGTGTTTTGTGTGTGTTGTGTGTGTGGTGTGTGTGGTGTGTGTTATGTGTGGTGTTTGTATGTTGTGTGTGTTTTGTGTGTGATGTGTGTTGTGTGTGAGGTGTGCGTGCTGTGTATGTGGTGTGTGTGTTGTGCATGTTATGTGGTGGGGTGTGTTTTGTGTGTGTTGTGTGTGTTGTGTGTGTGGTGTGGGTTTGGTGTGGGTGTTATGTGTGTTGTGTGTGTTGCATGTGTGTTATGTGTGTGTTGTGTGTGGCGTGTGTGGTGTGTGTGGTGTGTATTTTAATTTTTTTAATTGAATCACGATGGGACACACAGTTAAAGCGTCAGTTCGTGACTGGGTTTCGGTCGCACAATGTCCCAACGCACCCATCCCACCCCAGTGCTCATCTCCCGCCACCGATGTCCCAGTCCCCCCCGCCCCCCGCCCAATCCTGCGTCTACGACACTTTTCTGTGTCTCTCTCCTTCCGCGCATTACGGTTTGCGATGCGGGTACTGAGAGGCCATCGTGCTGGTCCATTTCAGCACACCCTCCCCTCCGGACTGGCCCCTCCGACCACCACTGTAGGGCGGTCCCGTCTCTGCCCCGATGCCCCCTCGCCCGCCCGGGCAGGCTTCCGACCGCGGAGCGACCCTGTGTCCTTGTCGGGACGCCTTCACGAATGCACGCGGCGGGCCACACGCGGACACGGGCCCAACGCCCGCACGGGGAGGGACACGCAGCTGTGGTGGACGTGGGCAGTGGGACCCTCCGCGGCAGGAGGAGCGATGAGGCCGGGTGGTCACTGCGACCTGGACGGGGTCGTGTCCAGGGAAGGGGGCAGAGGCCAGCGATGGGGGTGGACTACAGAAATGAAACACCCGGGAGGAGCAGCCATGGGAGGGGGAGGAGTCGGAGACAGCAGGAGGGCTGGGCCGAGGGTCCAGAGAGGGGACACACAGTGCGTCACACACGCGCCCTCACACTCGGCCCGAGGACAGACCAAGGCAGCACACGATCGTGTGGCTTGTGATCTCTTCGAAGGGCTTAGATGGCTCAGGGTGAGATACGACCATCTCCTCCTAGGGGGGTGGGAGGGTGCACGGAGGTGGAATTGGTGTTTGAACATCATTTGTAAGAACTATTGTGAACAACTTTATAAAAATAGAGAGAGAGAGAGAGAGAGAGAGAGAGAGAGAGAGAGAGAGAGACTGGAGTGATAGCACAGAGGGTAGGGTGTTTACCTTTCATGCGGCTGACCCGGATTCGATTCCTCCGTCCCTCTCGGAGAGCCTGGCAAGCTACTGAGAGTATCCGGTAGAGCCTGGCAAGCTCCCCATGACATATTCGATAGGCCAAAAACAGTAACAACAACACTCACAATGGAGACGTTACTGGTGCCCACTCAAGAAAATCGATGAACAATGGGAGGACTCCGGTTTTTTTTTTTTTTTTTTTTTTTTGCTTTTGGGTCATACCCAGTGATGATGCGCAGGGGTTACTCCTGGCTCATGCACTCAGGAATTACTCCTGGCAGTGCTCGGGGGACCATATGGGATGCCAGGGATCAAACCCAGGTTGGCTGCATGCAAGGCAAACGCCCCCCCCCCCCCCACCATGCTGTGCTATTGCTCCAGCCCCTGGGCTATTGGTTTTATCACGCCCAGGAGTCCCGCTGCCGTGGGGTCCCTTCCCCGCTTTCAGTCTCAGACACTCCTCCCTCCCGCAGCTCCTGGCCCAGCCCCACCTGCCCAGGTGGCCAGGAGAGGACCCTGCCCCCCTGGAGCCCGCCTGGCATTGCCTACGGCCCTTGCAAGTGGCTTCTGAGGCATCTACAAGCAAGCTGGGGTCAAACGCTGTCAGAGGAGCAGAAGCCCCTTGGCTCATAAGCCCCCAGAAACGGCCCCGGGCCGCCCTTCAGGTCCCCGCTGGGTGGAGGGGGGACAGGCCCCTGAGGTCCGGGAGATAAGATTGGAAGCAACGAAGGCAGCAGAGCGGCAAGCGGACAGTCACACTGGACTATGCAGGACGCAGGACGTCGATGGTGGCTCAGGACTCACGCGGGAGGTGGCCAGGCGAGGGGGCAGGACTTAGCGCCCCTCGTGGGCCAGCGACCGACCGAATATCACACACGGAGGCCCGAGGCTTCCCCTGTGAGCAGGAAGGAGAGACGGCTCTGCTCCCTCGGGACTCGGCCGACCCCTCTCCCGGCATCAGAGACCGAGAAGGCTGACCCGCACACACCTGATCCCGGGGCCAAGTTTACACCTGGATCATTTATCACTTGGGCCAACAGCTGCTAAGGCATTTGCCTTGCAAGCACTCAAGCCCGGGATCAACCCGCAGTGCCTGGATGGTCCCCTGGGCCCTGCCAGGAGCAAGGCCAAATCACCACCAGGAGTGGTCCCGCGACAAAACAAAACAACCTTCCCTCCCTCCCAAGGTTCCCGATTCAGGGCTATTCACCGTCTCCCCCGCCCCCTCCCCCCACCTGTGCAGCAGGGCTGACCCTTGGAGTCATTTGTCAGGACACCCTCGTCTCCGACCATTGCCGCCTGCCACCCGCACCCCTGCTTCAGGGGCTCTCCCTGCGAAGGAACAGCGGTTCTGCTGCTACGACCAGCGCTGAGCGGTGTGTCTGCAGGAGGAGCTGCGGCAGGAGGTCCCAGGGGCTGCCTCTCGCCCCGCAGAGCTGGAGGGCAGGGGCGGGAGACGGGGCATTGCAGGGGACCCCGCTCAGCCCAGCCCGTCTGTGCCAGGGAAGCCCCAGGACGCTGGCACTGGCCAGAGACATTTGGTAGCGTCTAGGCTCTCAGAACACCAAAGAGACTCGGGAATGAATCTCGGAGGCGAGCAGCACGTCCCGGAGATGTCTCCCCACCACACTGCGCCAGGCTGATTTCACCAGGGCACCTCGGAGGGGGGCAGGTGTGTCCCTCCGCCTGCCCCCAAAGAACCCCGGCAGCTGCAAACCTCCAGAACCAAATAGCCTCCCCGCTCACAGCTCACGGCCGACCTTCACAGGCTCATCTCAAGCCCCACATGCATGAGAATGAAACTGCTGAAACACCCGGGTACGCGGGACCAGTGACTGAAATCTCCAGGCGTCACAGAGTCGGGGATGGGTGACCTCTTCCCATCCCCCGCTTCCAGTCCCCTGGCAGTCACGCCCACGAACTGCCTCTGGTAGCATTTAAGCGCATTGTCGGTCATGATCCAGAGACCCACAGATGAATCTCAGAAAAGAGCAGCATGCGGAAGAGA